TATCGCTCTTCTGTTCCCACAGCTGGTGCTGGGTCCTAGCGGGGTGCTCCAGGGGATACGTCCGGGGAAGTGCTACGTGGACATGTCCACCGTCGATGCAGACACGGTCACGGAGCTGGCCCAGGTAAGCATGCCAGACTCGAACGTCTGATGCTTCTCAGGGTGGGACAGGTGGCTTTGTTCCTAGTCGATCCGTTGTTTTTTCTTGGGCATCATGAGTCTGGGGCAGTGGTTCTCATACCGTGGGTCGGGACCCCAAAATGGGTTGCAACTCCTTCGCCAAGCCGGTTGCAGGGCCAGAGTGGGGGGAGATAGATCCAGAGTGGTCTGACGGAGGAGGACTCGAAGGCAGTTGTTGGGTTAAAAAGGTCAAGGTTTCCCTTGCTCAAAAGCCAGTCGAATCCAACTCTAGGGGGCGGTGCTCATCTCCGTTTCCAAGCCAGAGAGCCAGTGCTGTCCGAAGACGTTTCCGTGGTCGTGTGGCCGGCATGACTAGATGCCGAGGCGCACGGAACGCTGTGACCTTCCCATCGAAGCAAGTACCTATTTATCCACTTGCAATTTCTTGCTTTCGACCTGCTAGGTTGGCAGGAGCTGGGACCAGAGACGGGAGCTCACCCCGTCACGCGGCACACTCGGGTCTCAAACTGCTGAACTACCGACCTTCCAGTCTGCAGTTCAGCGTCTTAACCACTGAGCCACCGCAGCCCCTAGGTGTTGGGTTAGCCTCGGCTGAATATGCACCCTGGCCGCGAAAGACACAGCCTTGTCTCTCTGTAATGTTATATCTTCATTTATAAGGAGAAGTAAAATGGGACACTCGTTCGTTGTTACACTGATGGGAGCTTCTCACTTTTTACATTAGGGGAGGGAAATAGCTTCGAGTGAGTCACCTTGCAAGTGGGGCACAAGAAGCAGTTGAAAACTGGGTCCTGTTTCATAAGGTTTGAGAAAGCCCGGCTCTAAGAAAATCCATTCTAGAAAAATGAGACCTTAAGGAAGCACCCCCGCCCTCTGCTTATTAGAAAGGGATAGGCCTGGCCAGAGATTTTGCTTCGTTATACCCTTCCTTTCTTAACCCGTGCAGGAACCCAAAAGTGCTTAAAAATACAGCTTAAATCTCATCAGTAAAACAGGCAACAAGAAGTAAGTATTCTTGTGCGTGTCTCTTTGCTTGGCTCACAGCCCCTCAAGCACCGAACGTACCTGTCTCCCTTCTCCCAAGAGCATTCATCCATAACCTCCTCCTGTCCTTGAGCCCGCCAGGATGATTTTCTCCCATGCCAGGTGACGTCTCTCTCAGACGCTGCCCAACTGGTCGTTCTGTTACTGACAGACTCGCAGCTATTAGGATGACGTTGGGACATGCTCTGACATCATTGCAGCTCAGCCAATAGCGAGCACTCACACCGATTGATGAGAAGCAGGGTTAAAAATGTAAAATAAAGGTTTTTAAAGGTCTTCTGGCTTTTCTGTACTTCCCAGCAATTTCCCAAGTGACCGGTGCTGCATTCGTGTCTGGTGCCTTGGCCCGTTCAGCTTCTGTGTGTCCTGTAGCGCGTACGTAATTGGGGAGGCCTCCTCTCTCTCTCTCCCCTTCCAGGTGATTGTCTCCAGGGGTGGCCGCTTCCTGGAAGCCCCCGTCTCAGGGAATCAACAGCTGTCGAACGATGGGATGCTGGTGATCTTGGCCGCCGGGGACAGGGGCCTGTATGAAGACTGCAGTAGTTGTTTCCAGGCCATGGGGAAGACTTCGTTTTTCCTGGGTAATTCCCTCCGCTCCCGCGCCAGGCGGAATCTCGATAGGCCGGTCTTGCCCGGGCTCCAGCAGAGCTCGCTCGCCCACACAATTTCCTGTTTGCGTAGGACCCAGCTGTGCGGAGGGTGCACGTTCAGGCACGAGGACCAAAAGCTGTGTGGGCGCGTGTTTGGGATTCAAGTCCCATCGGAGAGGCCAGCGCCATCAGTTCATGCTCTTTTCAAACCAACCCGCAAAAGGGAGGGGATTGATTTCCCCTACAATCTTATTTACACTGTCACCTTTTTGCATTCCACGTCTGAGGAAGAAGTTGTCTTGTACTTACAGGGCCTGGTTGCTTCTATAAGCCAGGGTTCTAATGGACATGAAAATAATCCTAGAATCACCGAGTGGGAAGGGGCCATACAGGCTATCTGGTCCCACCCCCTGCTCAGTGCAGGATCAGCCGAGAGCATCCCTGACAAGTGTTTGTCCAGCCGCTGCTTGAAGACCGCCAGTGACGGGGAGCTCACCACCTCCCGAGGCAGCCGATTCCACTGTTGCACAACTCTTACTGTAGAAAAAAGTTTTCCTAAGATCCAGCCGGTACCTTTCCGCCCCTAATTTAAACCCATTCTTGTGAGTCCTATCCTTTGCTGCCCACAGGAACAGCTCCCTGCCCTCCCCTAAGCGACAGCCCTTCATATCCTTCAAGAGAGCCATCCTGTCCCCCCTCCGCCTCCTCTTCTCCAGACGGAACATTCCCAGGTCCCTCAGCCTTTCCTCACAGGGCTTCTTGGCCTCCAGGCCCCCGATCATCCTCGTCGCTCTCCTCTGCCCCCCGCTCCATTCTGTCCACATCCTTTTTGAAGTGAGGCCTCCGGAGATGGGGGATGCCTTGTTTTCACAAAGCAGGTCTTGAATAGACCCCGGGCTCGTTCTGACATAGGCCTTCATAAGAACATAAGAGACGCCAATGTTGGATCAGGCCAAAGGCCCATCCAGTCCAACACTCTGTGTCACAGAGTGGCCAGAACTACCAGGTGCCATCAGGAGGTCCACCAGTGGGGCCAGGACAGTAGAAGCCCTCCCACTGTTGACCCCCCCCCCAAGCACCAAGAAGACAGAGCATCCCTTGCCCCAGAGCCCCTATCTATACCTTGTGGCTAATAGCCACCGATGGACCTCTGCTCCACATGCTTATCTAATTCCCTCTTGAAGCCGTCCATGCTTGTAGCTGCCACCACTTCCTGTTCCATAGACATCACTGTCTCAAACTCAGTCCACCCTACTAGAGACTACCAGTGTCAAGAACGTGGGGTTGGGTGCATTGGGGCCGCTGGAGACCAGGGAGGAATTGCGTCGCACGATGAACAAAGTGATAAAGAGGGGAGATGTACCACCTAAGCCCGTGTAACCTGCCTCTGCTGTTGTAGGTTTCCTCCCACCCCCAGGTGTTTTCATTTGACAACAAGGGTTGCGAAGAGAGCAGCATTGAACTCCAGTGTGGCAGTCATCAAAGTAATGGATCTTACAGAGATACTGGCTTAGCTGCTTTTGTCATTTCAAGCTGACTTGTCTCGCTGCTGCACAGAAAAGGTGGCTTTACTGTCTTGGCCTGTCAGCTAAGGATAAGGGCAATGGATTTAGCACTGCCTGAACATAAGTGCCTTGCAGAGTTCATCTGGTCCTGTTTCATTGATTTCTCTTCCTCTCTAAAAATGAGAAGGGTCAGCAGCATATTAATGTTCTCTGACAGTTTCATTTCCACAGAGCCAGATGTGAGACAGAACATATTGCACCTGCAAGTAAAGGGGGAAGGGGTGGGATGCTTCTCCAAAGGGTTTTGGATCCTAGTAAGCTGGGTTTGCGTTTGGGGCTTCACCTTTGTAGAGGTGGGGTTGTGGAAGACTGTCTCACAGAATACCTCTCCTCCCCCCACCCCCCCATACAGGGGAAGTGGGCAACGCCGCCAAGATGATGCTGATCGTGAACATGGTGCAGGGGAGCTTCATGGCCACAATAGCGGAAGGCCTGACTCTGGCCCAGGTGACGGGCCAGTCCCAGCAGACCCTACTCGACATCCTGAACCAAGGGCAGCTCGCCAGCATCTTCTTGGACCAGAAGTGCCAAAGTAAAGTCCTCTCCCGCCCTCCTACCTCTCGCAGCCCGTGAACCACCGCCGACCAGGTTCAGGGTCGCACTGGAGGGAGGGGAAATAAAGACCGCTTTCGGGGCTCCCTGGGTTGCCAACCTGTAGCCAAGGCCTGGAGGTTACATCTCGTGACTAGAGAGCCGTTCCCCCGGAGAAAAATGGCTGCTTCGGAGGGCCGACCCGTCTGGGGTTCTGTCCTGCTACGGTTCCCCCCCCCCCCCCCAAGCAGTTTTCGGACCCGAAGTTCGCAACCCCACTCCCAGTGTCAGTGTAGGGCGGGCTTGTTGCAGTGTGACTTTAGCTCCGGTCCCCTCAAGCCCAACCTGAAACGTGTGGGTTTGGACCATAAATTCTGAGTCCAGTGGCACCTTTAAGACCGACAAAAGGTTTATTCAAGGGATGAGCTTTCGTGTGCAAAGGCACACTTTATCAAATACATGGTTTGGACCATGCCGGTGATCCCTGTGTGGTGTTACCTGAGCAGCAGCCACAGCCGGGGCCTTGATTAGAGAGGATAATGGCAGGAGTCCCTAAGGGAGTGGCTGCCATCCAGTTGTGGTTGTGCGCTTTGCACGGAAGAGATCCCGTCCTTTTCGCCTCGAGCTAAAGCGGCCTTAGCTATAGCAGTAGGGGGGGAACAACCTCCTCTCAAAGCCCCCCTATCCATTCAAGTAAATACTAGGCTCCACGAACAAGTAGCATGACTCATCGGCAGGTGGTCTTGCGCACGTGGAAGTGGGTGGTTTTGAAGGTGGTTGTGAAATCCGTAAGCGGAGAGACGAGGAGCCAATGACAGCAGTCGGGGAAGCGGAACATAGAAATGTGCCCAGCGTTCATCAAAGTTGCCTCTCCCTCTTTTCCAGACATCCTCCAAGGAAACTTTAAACCCGATTTCTACCTGAAATACATCCAGAAGGATCTCAGATTAGCCATTGCACTAGGCGACTCCGTCAACCACCCAACTCCCATGGCAGCTGCCGCCAACGAGGTACGTGCCTTCCAGAACCCACCTCCGTCCGTGCAGGTTTCAGGCAATGTTCCCTCTAAGCTGTGGAGGCCGGTGAGCAAAAATTCTACTTTGTAAGCCGCTTGGCATTTAAAGTTGTGAGCGAGCGATCTGGCGACTGCATAAATCAGTTTGCTCTGGAGCCGCCCTCCTTCCTGAGCGAAGACGGAAATGTCTGAGCTGGAGGCTAAAGCACTGTAAGCTGGCTCACGCTAACTCAGCTTAGAGGGAACACTGGTTTCAGGGACGGCTTCTGAAAACCGAGGGCGGCTCCGGATCTGGACGCAGGCCTGCTGTTGTGCCCTCGAAGATGCCGGAACGCCAAAGGGGTCATTAGCATGTTCCCCCGTGTACACCTCTCGGAGAGAGAACCGTTTTTCAGGCGGTAATACAAATTCAGTGGCCCATTCAAGTATTTCCAGGACAGTATGAGAGAGAGTATCCGGAGCACAGTCAAAGCAGGGGGAATAAATTCTGGAGTCGTTCTGCTGGCCTGAATCAGCACCCAGATGGAGGTGGGGATGTGTTGTGTGGGTTGGGTCGGTTGCCACCAATCCAGCAGGAAGTACCATAATTAGTCAAAGGGCTCACTAAATTAGCAATTACAATTAAAAAACGGATCAGGCAGATTGATTGCAATAGTTCTGTTCTTCGTGCTCGACAAGGTCTTCACAAACTTTTTGGAATACTTCCCCCTGATTATCTTCCTTCCTGTGCTTATCTTCTGACTTCCCCTGGTCCACTCATGGCTTTTACTCTTGCTGGAATGAATGTCCGTTCCGTGGTGGTGATGAGGGTTCCCTCTAAGCTGAGTTCAGTTCAGTTAGCCTTTGGCATAAAACAATACCTTAAAAGAGGATACCTATAAAACAGACATATACGTATAAAACCATATAATGTGTATGGACCACATCTAAGCTGAGTTCTAATGCTCCCTCTAAGCTGGGGGGTCTTGTGAGCAAAAATTCTACTTTGTGAGCTCCCGGCATTAAAGTTGTGAGTGAGTGATTGGGCTGCTGCATAAATTAGTTTGCTCTGGAGCCCCTCCTTCCCGAGCGAAGACAAAACTGTGTGACCTGGAGGCTAAACTATGAGCTAGCTCACACTAACTCAGCTTAGAGGGAACACTGGTTGTGAGCTACAGTTTTTTAGCCTCCGGCTCACACATTTTTGCCTTAGCTCAGGAAGGAGGGCTCCAGAGCAAACTGATTGGTGCAGCAGCCAAATCGCTCGCTCACGGCTTCAATGCCAGGAGCCTCACAAAGTCGAATCTTTGCTCACAGGACTCCACAGCTTAGAGGGAGGATAATTTATGAGAAATCACTTTTTGCATCTTCTCTACTCTGACAGAATTTGCGCTTGGCCTCTTGGTCAGGGAGGGTAACTTAACACAGATCTCCCGCGTAAAACCCTTTTTTGGAGAAGGGGGTCATTGTTCATTCGGGATCCTCTCCCTCTCAGAGAAATACGGTATCTCTTTCCCAGGCCCGACTGTTCAGGGCTGTGTGGGCGAGGGCCATCTTACAAGGCTGCCTACACAAATGCTGTCGCGAAGCACCACGGCGTGCACGGCTGAATCTGGCCCAAACCGCAGCAGGTCGCTGCCGGGCCATGAAAAGCCCCTGGGGAGGATGTCTGGGGTAGGATCTTGCCTGCAGAGGTTTCACGTTGCTACCCTCTGTGCAGACAGCCACATTTCGATCCCATCCCGAGCTTGATGCTTGCAAAGGAGGAATTTCGACTTGTGTGGGAGCCCCTTCCGAGATCTTTGCTGCTTCTTCTTGGGAAGCAATCGGGTTGCACAGTACACAATGATTTACAAGGTTACTTGGATAATTGGTTAGGAACTGGAGCCGGTACTACTTTCTATAGTTTGCAGTAAGTAGAATCCCACTGTGTAGTTCTGCATCATTTAGCATGTCATGGTAACACTTTAGCGCTTTGCTTCAGTTCTGTTTTTAGATTCCAGGTTGTTTCTCCAACCTGTTTGGTGAAGTGCTTAGGAGCGCGGACTCTAATCTGGGAGAACCGGGTTTGATTCCCCACTTCTCCACTTGCAGCTGCTGGTGTGACCTGGGGTCAGTCACAAGTTCTCTCGGAGCTCTTCTCTCAGGAGCAGTCCTCGAAAGAGCTCTCTCAGCCCCGCCTACCTCCCAAGGTGTCTGTTGTGGGGAGGGGAAGGGAAAGGAGATTGGAAGCCGCTCTGAGTCACCTTCAGGTAGTGAAGGGCGGGGCATAAATACAATCTCTTCTCTTCTTTTTCTTCTAACCCTATTGCATTGTTCATGGAACGTCTCATCCTGCCGCCTGTATTGACTCAGTCTGGTGTAGCCAGTTTGGTGTAGTGGTTAAGTGTGCGGACTCTAATCTGGGAGAACCGGGTTTGATTCCCCACTCCTCCACTTGCACCTGCTGATGTGACCTTGGGTTAGTCACAAGCTCTGGCACAGCTGTCCTTGAAAAAGAGCAGTTTGTGTCAGAGTTCTCTCAGCCCCACCCACCTCACAGGGTGTCTGTTGTGGGGAGGGGAAGGGAAAGGAATTTGTAAGCCGCTCTGAGACTCCAAGTGAAGGGCGGGGTATAAATCCAATCTCCTCCTCTCCTCCTCCTCCTCCTGTAATCTGCATGAGACAGGTGGACTATGAACAACATAAATTAAAAAATAAAAATGTGTGAAGCAGCCATCTGCTAAAACAGGGGTCCCCAATCTTTTTGAGCCTGCGGGCAACTTTGGAATCCCAACACGGCTGTGGCAGGCACAGCCGCAAAATGGCTGCCTCAGCTTAAAGGTGAAGGTGAAGGTTCCCCTTGCTCGAAAGCCAGTCGAGTCCGACTCTAGGGTTGTGGTGCTCATCTCCGTTTCAAAGCCGAAGAGCCAGCGCTGTCCGAAGACGTTTCCGTGGTCATGTGGCCGGCATGACTAAACACCAAGGCGCACGGAACGCTGTTACCTTCCCACCGAAGTGGTACCTATTTGTCTACTTGCAATTTCTTGCTTTCAAACTGCTAGGTTGGCAGGAGCTGGAACTAGAGACGGGAGCTCACTCCGTCATGTGGCACACTCGGGTCTCAAACTGCTAAACTACCGACCTTCCACAGCCTGCAGTTCAGCGTCTTGACCACTTGAGCCACCGCAGCTTACATTCAGTCAAAAAAGTGAAGATCCTTGTGCCCAGGCAATGTTGTTGTTTTTTAAAAGAACCCTGCTCAGGCAGTCAGATCTCCAGTAATTCAGAGGCCTTGTTGGGCAATAGCCCCCCTCCCCCCCCCCCCCCCCCCCCCCCGCCCCGAAAAAAGGGGGGGGATCCCCGTGCCCAGTGGTGGTAGCCGATGATGCCAATTCCCGAAAGAGGAGACTGACCCCTCTCCCTTCTTTGTATCTCCCACAGGTCTACAAGAGGGCGAAAGCATTGGACCAATCAGACAACGACATGTCGGCTGTGTACAGGGCCTACATCCACTAGGGCTTCCCCCCCCCCTTCTTATTGTTAATACCATGATTATTATTATGACGACGAATACTGGGTTTTTAACTCTGGACCAGTCCATCTCTGTCTGTCTCTCTCTCTCTCCCTCTCCCCCCGCCCTCTCCATTTTCTTCTTTTTTTGTAAAATATGGGGTTGGGGGGGAACCCTCTTTGGGATCTGCCGCGAGAGCAGGTGCCACAGCCAAGTCTCCCCGCGCCGGCAGAAGCAAGAATCGGAGATGAGGGAGGAATCCGGTCATTGGCACCTCGATGGCGGATCCGTCACCCCCCACGCTGAGAGTCACAGAATGGAATTGGCGACAAGTCATCCCCGGACGCTGGACTCTTGTCGGAATATCCGCTGCTTGGTTTCTTCCACTCCTTGGTTGTACGAGTGTCCCTGACTTTGCAGTTTCTTTTTAACCGCTTTCACTTTTTTCTTTTTCTTTTTTGGCCGTGGGTACCGCGTACGCTGGCCCTCTCGTGTGCTGGGGACACTTAAGCGGCAGAAATCCCCGTCCGCCCGCAGTCCAACAGCTCCAGGCCTTCATTGGGATGGGAACCTGTCTCCCATGGGGCTGACCTGTCCCTGGAGGAACAAGCGAGTCAAGAAGGCAGAGGCCCCAAACTCTGCGTAGCGTCTCGACACCAAGCCCCCAACACCACAAAGGAGATATTTCTCATAAGATCGACAGAACCAAGCCTTCGGATTCCCCTACCCAATGCAGTTTGGTTTTTAGAACACTGGGCCGTGCATGTGGCAGCAGAGCTCCGTTGCCTGGGATGCATTTGCCGACACTGACACGCCCCCCCCAAAGGTTGATCTGCTCCAGAGATCATTCCTAAACCAGTTTTGCTTTTTTAAATAATTCAGGCAATGAAGTAGTTATGTTTGCGTGTGTTTTAGACGAGGGGAAGAAGAGCGAACCTTCGTATTCTTTTGAGACCCGTGCTGAAACTCCCTGCATCGCCGTGGCTGCTGGCTTTTGAAAGAGAATTCTTGGAGCAAAAGCCCCGGGGCGAGAAGGTGTGCTCTGAGACTCAGCTTGGGGGAGCTTTGGGGTCTAGCAGGAACCTCGGCTGCCATGTTTTTCCATCGCTGAAACTGGAAGCAAAATCTGGCCTTTAGCAACCGTTGACTAGCTAGTGACCTGTGGGCGGAAATGGCGGCCTCTGCCTTGGCGTGGCGCGGTCTCTTTGGTGCATTTCTGAACTCTCCTGTCAAACAGGCTCTAGTTGTTGCATCTGGGGAATATCTTAAAAAAGAGAAAACGGCTGATGAAGTTAAAGCCTTTTTAAGACCTGTCACCTTGTTGATCCCGTAGAAAAAAGTAAATCGGGAGCCCAGGCAGCCGGTTTGAGACATCCAGCTCATGTTAGGGAGCAGAAGACTTTTTCACGCTGAGCAAAACTTGGGGAATATCCTGTCCTGGCGGAACGGCTGACCCCACGGAAGATATCACCTCGAACCCGTAGCATAGTCGCTCTCTCACTCTCCAAAGGAAATGTAAAGAAACGTGAATGCCCTTTCAAACTCTGAAGTCTTTTTTTAAAAGGAAAAAAATACCCTTTCATCAGTATTAGTCTTTTGGCAAGAGCCGTGGGCCGAAGCTCAGAAGGTGTGCATGGCAAGGGGGTCGGGATCTCACTGGCACAGCCCCACCTGAATTTCACGTTTGTACCGGCGCCCCAGAGTGCCAGCACCAGTCAACCCTTTCTGCGCCGTGACCCCATCGCCCTGATTTTTATGGCGAGCTGGTGATGCCAATCTTACTCTCCGTATTGGTCTGCACGCGGGCCATTGCGCTTACGCCGCATGCGTCAGGTGGAGGTCTAGGGGCAGTGCAGGGTGAGGGCGGAGTGTACATTCCTGGTGGCAGCGTAAGGTCAAGGTTTCTTGGGGGTTTTGGGAGGGGAAGTGCCGGCAAGCACAAGCCGTCTTTATTAGCGTGCCTGATCTTGGGAGTTCCTTCTTCCTCCTCCAAGCTGCTTTTGAAAACTTCACCCAGCCATCCACCCAGAAAAGGAAGCAAACAAATAAGAATCCAGCTCTCCGGGGTGGTCTTGCGCGTTTCACACATTGGAAATTAACCCGATGTCCAATCTCACTGTGTGGTGGTGGTGGTGGAAGGGGGAAGTCGCGTAGCTTCCAAGAGTATGGGGCCATGCACCCGAGGGTCCTAACCAGGACAGCTCAAAACCCAGCGATCTTTGCCTTAGTGCAGTCCTAGCATAGGGTGGGTTGTGAACCAACAGCAAGCAGATCTTTCTGAATTTATTTTTCCCCTGGAGAAAATGGAGGAGGAGTTTGCAGCTTCCTGGGGCGAGAAGAACCAAGATCGGCTTAACGGGGGCCGATCTTAATGTTTCCCGCAAACCTGGTAAGCCCAAGAAGAGAGGACGGCACAGACCCTGAGATGGTGGCCTGTGAAGGTCTGGCTGACTCAGAATGATGGCTGGGTTCACCTTTTGCAGCAGAGACACACACACACATCCGTTGGTACCTGAAAGGATAGCCGGGACATGGTGGCATAAACTCCGGTGGGCCAGAAGCAAGCGCTGACCTATTGGCTCATGGTCTGGTAGACCTGTGCGTTTTCCAGTTGCCACATGGAATAGCCTGCTGTTCACGCCCCTTGAAAAGGAAGCCGGTGGTGTTCTAAATCCTTGGGCTGGGTGTGTTCGAATCCCACTAGGTGGTTCCAGGTCGGAGGGGAGAGGATTTAAGTTTGGTTTGCAAGAAAACACGACGGACCCCGGCTTCGGTCATTGTTGTCTTAATATTGTAAAGTTCCTTTTTCTTTTTTTAAATGAGGGTTTCTGTTTTAGCAAACGTTTGTTTTTCCCCCCGTTTTGTTCCCTTCCGTTTTTAAAAGAGGAGGAAAAAAAATGTGACACTTGTGAAAAGCTTGTAAGGAAAAAAAACAACCAGAATTTCTTTTAAATTTCCCCACCCACCCCCTCCCCTCTTTCAATCACAAATCTATAGGTAATTAAGGTTGTGAATTTTTTTAAATGTTTTTTGCCTTGTTTTTAATTAACGTTTGTCATTCAAAATAGGATGTGTGGTGATGATTAAATGGCAAAACCCGATGAAATGATTTTTTTTTTCCTTGTGCAATGAACTAAGCTACTGGCTTTAAGGAAATAAAAACCTTTCTTGGTAAACACAATGCCACTGGTCTGTTCCTAAAGCCCCTTCTTAACCCACCCACCCTGGCGACGATGCCAAAAGAACCTCAGAGACCACCAAGGAAGTCCAGAATCACTATGCAAAGGCAGGTAACGGCCGACCACCTCTGAATGCCTCTTGCCTTGAAAACTCTATAGCAGGGGTGTCGAACTCATTTGTTTTGAGGGCCGGATCTGACATAAACGAGACCTCGTTGGGCCGGGCCACGTGTCATAAAAGGTAATGCCAGGTCGCTGAGATATAAACTTTATAACGGACACAAACACAAAGGGCTGGGTTGGTTTTTTTTTACTTAAAAACATGCTTAAAACATCAGCACTCTTGCAATATTTTGTTTATTTAACGGTGTCCGATAACTGACACCTCTCGCTCTGAATTATTGCGTCAAAATGTCTGTGCCGTTGCAGTCTTGACTCTGCTGTTCAGGTGCATATCTGTAAGCTGCAAACCTGCGATGACGCAGCAGCAGCAGAACTGGAAGAAGCAGCAGAAGACAGCCGGTTCCACTGCGGGCCTGATAGAAGCCCTCCGGGGGCCTTATCCGGCCCCCGGGCCGCATGTGTGACACCCCTGCCCTACAGGGTCACCATAAGTCACCTGCTATTTGACAGCATTTCCACACAGAGACACGGTGCTTTTTCCGTCACGAGAAACTGACTTCACTGCTGGGCTATCAAACGGCAGAGCGATAATCCCTCCTATGACCGCAAGATGGTCCGGTTAACCCGTGTCCCTGCCTCTTTTGGCCTAGCTGCTCAGGGAAGAGCTGGTGCTCACAGGTCATCGGCTGGCTGCTCGGGGATTTCCCCCACAATCAGCTACAGCAGAGGAGGTGCTGGGTTCAAGTCCTGTAGCACCTTGGAGACCAACCAGATTCCCAGGGCATGAACTTCTGAGAGTCAAAGTTTGTAAGTATCTGATGGAAGGGAGCGTTTGCCTCTCAGGAGCTCATACTTCAAAAATTGTATTCGTCTCTAAGGTGCTCCTGGAATTGAATCTGGCTCTTCTGCAAACCAACATGGCTACGCTCCGAACTCAGCTGAACCGAGGGGGGGGGGTTGCACATCTTTACCACCACCACCACCCCAAGAATATCAGAACTTCGACTGCATACGACAGATCCATTTCCACCAGCACAGCATACTGGATGTCTCTGGTAGATTTTTCACGGCTCTCCTTGGAGGGGCCGCCTTGCGTGGGTTGGCAACAATCTGGGGACAAAAGCTGGTTTTACGCACCGTTGTTCGCCACCAAAAGTTCCCTCCTTGCTTTCACTGAGTCTTCTGTGGCACATTTCAGGCTGGTTTGGTAGCGGCAGGGACGCCAGGAAGCTGCAAGGGCCACAAGCAGTTAATCCACCCTCTCATCTCTTAGCCAACCCACCCTCCCCCTTCCCTTCTTTTAGTCAGAAATGGATATATCATGCAGTGGGTGACAACTCGGGGGGTCGATTTAAACAGGAGTTAGGTCTGCTCCCTCTTCAGAGGAATTCCCTCCTTCAAAATTTCCCAGTTATATCATGCAGTGGGTGACAACTCGGGGGGTCGATTTAAACAGGAGTTAGGTCTGCTCCCTCTTCAGAGGAATTCCCTCTTTCAAAATTTCTCAGTAG